AAGGGCGCGTCCTGGCGGAAGGGGTGGGGCTGGGGCTGGCTCGGGTCTGCCACTAACAGCCCCTTTCAGCGGGACCCTCCAGGGTCCCTAGAGCCAGGCGGCAGGAGAGAAACCCGGAGCGCTGCGGGCCCCTGGCGTGTGCCTGTGGCGGCTGCGCCCCATCACTTCCTTCCGCTCCACCGTGGGCCCACGGGGAGCTGGACGCCGCTGGGAGGAGTGCTCCCTGCGCCCACCTGCACTGCAATCCTGATTCCCCCGGCACCCAAACATCCAGTGAACCGGGAACTGGGGGCTGGCGGTGCTGGGCTCTGTGCTCCTCCACCCCAGCAGCTGGGGAAACCCGGACAGGGTCACTGGGAGCCCTCCAGAGTGGGCGTCCCGAGTGAGACCATGACCGCTCTCCGGGGCAGTTCCTGCTGCCCGCCTCAGCCGGCTGGGCTGGCTCCTGCTCCCTCTGGAGCCTGTCCCAGACCCCGGCTGTGACAGCGGGGGCAGGGCGTTCTGCAGGCCCGCGGGCCGTCCCAGACCCCAGCCGGGGGGTGGGGCAGGAGGTGCAGGGCGGGGCCCGGGCCGAGGGCCGAGCTCCCGCAGCCTGGAGGGAAGCGTTTGTGGGACCCCGAGGGAGCAGCCCTGCGGGAAGCGGGGCAGGGCGATCTCACTCCTGGCTGAGCCCCCAGAGGCCTCCTGACGCCAGGAGAGCCCGCGGCCCGAGCGGGGGCTCCCTAGGCTCTCCCACCCCCTCCAAAGGCCAGACGCCGCCCTGCCGCGCCCCCTGGGGCCCTCACCAACTCGGGGAGGCGCCCCCTAGCGGCCCCGGCGGGAAGCGGCTCCTCAGTCTGCAGGGGGTGACGCCTTCCATAGCCGCCGGCGCCCCAGGATGCGCGCGAGAGCACGAGACCCGAGGGTCGGGGGCCCACAGGGTTGGGGGAGCGGGGCAGGGGGCCTCAGCCCCAGACCACACGGGGCCGGCTCGGAGGGGCTCGGAGGGACTCGGCGGTCCCTGGGCTCCTGGCTTCCTCCCGGGGAAGGAAGTGATGGGCCCCCAAGTGTGTCTGTGGGGTGACTGTGGCCCCCAAGTGTGTCTGTGAGGTGATGGGGCCCCCAAGTGTGTATGAGGTGATGGGCCCCCAAGTGTGTCTGTGAGGTGATGGGGCCCCCAAGTGTGTGTGAGGTGATGGGGCCCCCAAGTGTGTGTGAGGTGATGGGCCCCCAAGTGTGTCTGTGAAGTGATGGGCCCCCCAAGTGTGTCTGTGAGGTGATGGGGCCCCCAAGTGTGTCTGTGAGGTGATGGGGCCCCCAAGTGTGTGTGAGGTGATGGGCCCCCAAGTGTGTCTGTGGGGTGACTGTGGCCCCCAAGTGTGTCTGTGAGGTGATGGGGCCCCCAAGTGTGTGAGGTGATGGGCCCCCAAGTGTGTCTGTGAGGTGATGGGGCCCCCAAGTGTGTGTGAGGTGATGGGCCCCCAAGTGTGTCTGTGGGGTGACTGTGGCCCCCAAGTGTGTCTGTGAAGTGATGGGCCCCCCAAGTGTGTCTGTGAGGTGATGGGGCCCCCAAGTGTGTCTGTGAGGTGATGGGCCCCCAAGTGTGTCTGTGAGGTGATGGGGCCCCCAAGTGTGTCTGTGAGGTGACTGTGGCCCCCCAAATATGTCTGTGAGGTGATGGACCCCTAAGTGTGTCTGTGAGGTGATGGGCCCCTAAGTGTGTCTGTGAGGTGATGGGCCCCCCAAGTGTGTGTGAGGTGATGGGACTCCCAAGTGTGTCTGTGAGGTGATGGGGTCCCCAAGTGTGTCTGTGAGGTGACTGTGGCCCCCAAGTGTGTCTGTGAGGTGACTGTGGCCCCCCCAGATGTGTCTGTCAGGTGATTGTGGCCCGCAAGTGTGTCGGTGGCTGGGCAGGGCAGTGCAGGGCAGGCGGTGGGGGGCGGGGCCGGGGCTGGGGCGGGCGAGGTCGGGCGAGGGGAGCCGGCGCTGGCGCCCGGTCCGCGCCTCCGTGCCGTGTCCGTCGTCCCGGGCCGCCTGCTGGTGGTCGGCCCCTCTCCCGCCCCCGCCGAGCACCGCCGCCCTCCCCCCCTGCGCCGGGCTCGGGCCTTCTCGGGGGTCTCTGTGCGTCCGTGGCCCCCGAGCACCCCTCCGCGCCCGCTCGGGGCCTGGGGACGGGGGTCCGGGGGGCGTCCCTGCTGCCCTTGCCTCAGCCCCCACCCGCGAGGCCCAGACCCCGCCCGGCGGGGCTCCTCGGGGTCCAGATCCGCTCGCCGTCCTCCGCGCCCCGGGCCCCGCCCTCCGCGGGCAGCGGAAATCCCGCCCCCGCGCGCCCATTGGCCGCGCCCGTGCTCGGGGCGGGACCGTGGCCGCCGCCGCTCGCCCCATTGGGCCGCCCCGCCGCCGCTCAGCGGAGCGCGGTTGCGCGGGCGAGTGGGCGCGGCGGGCGCGGGGCCGGGGCCAGTGCCTGGGGCCTTCCCGACCGCTCCGGAGGGTGCGAAGTCGGCTGAAGCGGCCTCAGGAAACCCTGCCCCGGCCTCGCAACAAGCTGTTCGGCAGCGGACAACGTCGTTTGGGAAGTTCTGCCCCCAGCGCCAACGCCTCTGATCAGAGCGTTCCAGGAGGGGTCGATGAACCAGGAAAGCTTTTCCGCGTTGAACCAACGCAGGACGCGGCTGGGCAGATGACCCAGAGCTGCAAGGCGCCTGCCAGGCATTCAACCGAGACCCCAGTTTGGTCCCCTGAGCCCCGCTGGAGTGACCCCTGAGCACGCCCACCCCCAGTGACCGAGTCCCCCCAAAAGTGACACTGGGCCTGGGACACGTGATTTGCAGGCAGGAGCACCGAGCCCCAAGCCCCCCTAGTGGGTGTGACCTCAAAACAAAAAGAATCCTACTACACACACGTGGGCTCTGTCAGTCTGTTCTGTGACGCGCTGACAGGGCCACCTGGCACAGCCCAAGCAGAGCCAGACCCCCAACTCCCGCTCCCACGACAGGGAGCCTGGCCGCCTGGGGGCTTCTTGAAATACCTGGGGGGGATGCTGGGGTCCAGACAGCACAGAAAGACCCTGGTCGGGCTGCGGATCAAAGCCTTGAAGCCCGGGAGCAGGGCTGTGTGCCGGGGGCCCGCCTCTCCATGGGATCTCAGTGGGAGAAAGAGGAAGACGCGGAGGGAGGTGTCAGGCCAAGAGCCAGAACCGTGCAGGACTCAAGGTCCCTGGCTGGCCACTCCCGGTCCCCCCATCTAGGCCCCCTCGAGGCAGCCCTTGGGGCGCGTGGAGATGCCCGCTCACGAGGAACGTGCAGCAGAGTCCCGTTTGTGAGCACGGAAGGTGCCCAAGAAGAGGGGTCCCCTCTGATTCTGTAAGGCCACCGCCTGCGACCCCTCTCCAGTCCGCCCAGCCCACAGCGCCCTCTGCTGGCCAGCCCCACGGTGCCCGCCTCTGCACCTGCACCCTTCTCCTTGATGAGCACCCAGAGGCCCCTTCCCGGTGGCAGTCACCCCACGTCCTGACCTCCTGCGTCCGCGGCAGCCGGGGAGGGGGCGCCGAGTCCCTCCAGGGCCGAGGGGGGGTGGCGGCTCACTTGCCAGGTCTTCAGGAGGGTCATCCTGCCCCTACCCTCTGCCACGGGGACCCGCCTAGGTGTGTGTGGGGGGGGGGGGGGGGCGGGCTTTTCTCTCAGAGGATCCCAGGTGAGCCACTGGGCAAGGAGGAAGCCGGAGACCACATCAGCCAAAGACAGGATGTTTACTCAAGCACGGCCACAGGCTGAGGGCAACAGAGCCCATGTCCCGCCTGGCGGTGTCCTGTGGGGCCCCGCGAGGAGGCGCGAGGTCCTCGGTGTCCCCAGGGACAGAGGTGGCAGCGGTCATCAGGATGGAGAGGATGCTAGAGTCGGTAGGGACAGAGAGGCCACCTGGAAGGTGCTCACCTGCCCCCACCCCAGGGAGCTCCCGGGGTGCGGGGGCCGGCAGGAGAGAGTGGCGGGGGGCCACCCGGGAAGAGTCCCCCACACTCCTGTGGACGAGCAGAGATGGGGCAGGTGGGGGCCACGTTGCCGCGGCCTCAGGCTCAGAACAGACTCGGGGACAGGGGGCCACACGCCCGGAGCGGCAGTGGGGACGGCAGGCTGCCTGCCCGTCTCAGAGTGCAAAGTCAGGTGAAGAGTAAACTGGAGGCCGCACGCAGGGCCTGGCCCTGCCGGGGTCCATCTGGACTTGTGGTCAAGGCGGGCCCGGCCCCTGGGAACATAAGCCAGCCAAGGCGCTGACGTGCGCCCCCAGGGGTCAGCAAGGCACTAGGAAATGGTTCAAGTCTAGGGATTGTGCAGAGCTGCGCTTCTTCGGAAAGGCACCGGCGTTTTATCTGGAGACGCCGCGCTCCACACCCTGCGGCCCCCGCGGGGAAGGGGACCCCCACGTGCAGGCACAGACAGGTGGGGGTAGCGCCAGGCTTGTGCTGGGTGGGTGGGGGGTCTGTCCTGTGCAGCTGCCCCCCAGGTGTTCCCCCACACACCCTCCTCCAAGTCTTGTTTCGAGGGGCTGAAACCCAGGAAGGCTCTGGCATGGAACTGAGCAGGGGCCATGAAGGGCTGGCAGGGGGCTGGGGACCTGGGGAGGTCTCACCTGGACCCTGCATCCCACCTCCATGCAAGCTGGGAGACAAGCCCCTGGACACTGCCCACCCGGGAGGTCAGAGGGCAGCTGGATGCCAGAGACCAGCTTCCTGGGGCCCCTTCCAGCCTGCAACAGGACAGTTTCTCCCGGACCCCCAAGTTCCCCAGGGCAGGGGACGGGGGTATCAGTCCTGTTCTGAGGCCAGGAGGAGCAGGTCAGGCAGAGGGAGAGCCGGGAGGTCGGGGGAAGAGGCACACAGGGCACCCCCCCGCTCTTCCGCAGAGGCTGAGGCCCCCCAGGACCCAGGGTGTGGGGGGCAGCCCTGAGAAGCATCAGGGGCACCTGCTCCCCCAGCGCCCAGGGCAGGCTAGCAGGAGGGCTGCCAGTGTCGGAGGAGCCCCCTCCGGCGGACAGGGCAGAGGCGGCGGCTCAGGACCCGCTGAACTGGCCCAGGACTGTGGCGTTGGTGAACTGGAACAGCCACCGCTGGGTGGGAGACGAGGGGTCGCAGGTGCTCATGAAGACCCGCCGATCCCCCGCACTGCAGTCCATGCAGCTGCCGCTCACCGGGTGGTACAGGCTCTTGTCCTGCGGGCAGCGGGCATCCGGCCACTCCCGACCCCCAATGCCCCAGACGGCCCCACTGCGCCCCCGGATGCGGACGGTGCGACCCCCCCGTGCCTGTCACTGGCCTTGGGGGGTTTCACCCCTAAAGGGTGCAGCTGCCCGCCGAGGTCAGTTCATGGGAAACCAGAATTTCTGGCAGGTTCTTGGTTTGGATTCACACCCAGCAGTGCTCGGGGCTGACTCCTGGCTCTGTGCTCGGGGCTCACTCCTGGCAAGGCTCAGGTATCACTGCAAGCCAGGCCAGTGCCTCCCCCCTGTGCTGTCATGCGGCCCAGAAGACCGAGGCCACCCTGGGCTGCCCGGGGCCGTGGACGCCCTCCCGGCCAGAGCCTGCGTCCCTTACCGGGCGGTATCTCCACAGCTGGTTCCCCTTCATACTGTGGCAGTCGTAGAGTGTGACGGGGCTCGTGTGTGACACGGCGTCCAGGCAGAGCTTCTTGGTGTGCTGGGGGTCCCCAGGCCGGATGTCCTCCCTCCAGGTGAGCGTGAACAGCTGGGCACAGTGTGCTGGGTCAGGCCATGTCCCATAGCCATGGGGGCTGGGCGAGGGGTGGCCTGCCCTCCCCTCCCCTCCCCCCGTGTCGCATCTCATCCGGGACAGCACCGAGGTCGGGGCTGCACATCCTCTGAACCCGACACACCCCCCAGCAGCTGGACACAGGACCGGCCACGGGACGGCCACCAGTCACCTGTGACCTGCATGGGGGGTGAGTCTCCGAGAAGCCTCACCTGCATGCTGCTCCAGGCAGCCTCGCCGAGGCCCAGCACGCAGCTGTCCAGCCGCAGCGGGGAGCCCGAGGGCCCGTGCTTGGTGTCCGCGCACAGCCCCGTGCCCATGTTGCGTAACTGCATGGGCGGGAGAGAGCGGGGCTTGGGGCGGCGGCTGGGCAGGGCCTGAGCCCCGCCGCCACCCGCTATGTCCGGGTCCCACCGCTCACCTCCCCCCAGGCGGCGGCGGGCGGCTCCACGGGCGGGTAGTACTTGGGCAGGTCCCAGGCGATCTCGGTCATGAACCACTTGAAGCTCTTGCAGCCGAGCCGGGCGCGGAGCTGCTTCTGCGCGGACACGTCCCCGGCCGAGAGGTGCCGGTACTCGGGCCTCCGCTGGTATATGTGCTCGGCGTACTCGTCCATCCACACCTCCGCCACACGCTTCAGGTTCTGGGGACGCAGGCGGGGTGGGCTCAGCGCGAGGTGGGCGCCCAGCGTCCCGGCCCAGGCTGCCCCGGAGCCCCCGTCCGCCCGCCCTTGTGGCTGAGCATGCAGCGTTTCTCTTCCCTGCTGGGTGGGGCCTGCTGGAAGGTCCCCACAACTTGCAGTTAGAAAATGGGGCCATCTCACACCATAGAGGCTGGCCCACATCCAAAAAAACACAAGCAACCAGTGTTGGTTGGCGTGGATGTGGCGAGAAAGGGACCCTCCTTCACTGCTGGTGGGAATGCTGACTGGTTCAGCCCTTTTGGAAAACAGTATGAACGATCCTCAAAAAATTGGAAATGGAGCTCCCATTTGACCCAGCAATACCACTCCTGGGAATATATCCCGGAGAGGCAAAAAAGTACAGTCGGAATGACATCTGCACTTGTATGTTCATTGCTGCACTGTTCACACTAGCCAAAATCTGGGAAAAAAAACTTGTGCCCAAGAACAGATGACTGGTTAAAGAAACTTTGGTACATCTACACAATGGAGTACTATGCAGCTGTTAGAAAAGATGAAGTCATGAAATTCACATATAGGTGGTACTACATGGAAAGTATCATGCTAAGTGAAATAAGTCAGAAAAAGAGAGACAGACATAGAAAGACTGCATTCATCCGGGGAATATAAAGTAACAAAATAGGAGACTAACACCCAAGAATAGCCGAGATAAGTACCAGGAGGTTCACTCCATGGCCTGGAGGCCAGTCGCACATGCTAGGGGAAAAGGCAGCTCAGATAGAGAAGGGAGCACCAAGTAAAGGGTGTTGGCAGGATCCTCCCAGGATAGGAGAAGCACGCTGAAAGTAAACTATAGACCGAACATGATTGCCACTCAATGCCTCTTTTGCAAACCACAGCACCCAAAAGGAGAGAGAAAACACAAGGGAATGCCCTGCCACAGAGGCAGGGTGGGATGGGGGGTGAGGGGGTGGGAGGGATATTGGGATCAGTGGTGGTGGAGAATGGGCACTGGTGGAGGGATGGGTACTCGATCATTGTATAACTGAAATCCAAGCACAAAAATTTGTAAATCTACAACTGTACCTCATGGTGTTTCACTAATAAAAATTAGAAAAAGAAGAAAATGGGGCCGGGGGAGTCAGGGGCCTGGAGCCCTATGCCTGGGGTGAGGGTGGCCTGGACTTAGCCCCTGGCACTGCAGGAAATCCTCCCCCCCTGCCCGCCGCCCCCACCTCCCCAGCATTATTTGCTGTGGCCGGAGAGATAGTGAACAGGCCCTTGCCCAGCCCCACCATCCTTCAATGCAGGGTCTGGCTAGCAGTGTGCCAGTGACCACAGTCAGGCCGATGAGAATCAGCAGGCACTGGAAAGTGGGCTTCTGCCAGGAGGTGAGGGTGCTTGCCCTGCTTCTGCTGAGATGGCCGGGTGGGTGACAGAAGGCTGTGTGAGGGCCTGGAGCGACAGTACAGCAGGTAGGGCATTTGCCTTGCACGCAGCCGACCCGGGTTCGATTCCCAGAATCCCATAGGGTCCCCCGAGCACCGCCAGGAGTAATTCCTGAGTGCAGAGCCAGGAGGAACGCCTGTGCATCGCTGGGTATGACCCAGAAAGAAAAAAAAAAATGAAGGCTGTGAGAGGAGACAGAGGACAGACGCCCGACACAGGCCCGTCTCAGGGATTCCTGCTCCTCCAAAGCCGGTGTGACTGGGCTTGGGTCACTTTCAGCCCTGAGCTCTGGCCAAGGTGCTCAGTGAAAACAAGGCACACTTGGGAGACCAACACCCGAGAGTAGTAGAGGTAAGTACCAGGAGGTCTGCTCCGCGGCTTGGAAACCGGTCTCACATGCTGGGGGGAAAAGGCAGCTCAGATAGTGAAGAGACCACCAAGGAAAGGATGTTGGGACTATAGACTAGGGAAAGCAGACCACAGACCAAACACGATGGCCGCTCAATACCTCTATTGCAAACCACCAAAAGGAGAGAGAAAGGGAATGCCCTGCCGCTGAGGGGGGTGGGTTGGTGGGGTGGGGTGGGGTGGGGGGGGGTGGGCGGGATGCTGGGAACATTGTTGGGGGAGAACGGGCACTGGTGGAGGGATGGGTAAACGATCATTGGATGACTGTAATGCAAACACGAAAGTTAGTAAGTTTGTAACCGTACCCCACGGTGATTCACTAATAAAAAAATAAAGTATGGGGCTGGAGCAATAGCACAGCAGGTAGGACGTTTGCCTTGCACGTGGCCGACCCGGGTTCGATTCCCAGCATCCCATATGGTCCCCTGAGCACTGCCAGGGGTAATTCCTGAGTACAGAGCCAGGAGTAACTCCTGTGCATTGCTGGGTGTGACCCAAAAAGAAAAAAAATCATTAAGAGTGAAAAAAAAAAAAGAAAACAAGCCACACTTTGCAAGGCCGCATCCTACCAGCAGGCCTGGGGGCGGCGAGTGGGGCCCTGGTGTGGGAGTGGCGATGTGGGCATCGTGGACAGGGCCTGGTCAGTCCACACGCACCCCAGCTGAGCCCTCTCCGGAGTCCTGTTTTCCCTGGACCAGGGTCCCGAGTCCGCCCGGTCCCATGTCACCGAGGGTTCCCAGGTAGACGGGTCCCGCTCCCTGTGCCCTGGGGAGTGGGCAAGGAAGCGTGGCTCTTCGAGGCCAGGCAGTTGGTGAGCACTGTGTCCTGAGCTGCCCCATCGCCGCGGTCAGCGTCTGTCCCTCGTGGGCTTGTGTCTGTCCATCAGGACTTGGTTTGGGTGCCACGGTCCCTAGACGCGGGCTCGTTGAACCCACAGCCGCTAGAGGGCAGCTTGTCTCTCCCCTCCCTGCTGCCACCCCAAGGGATGCCCTACTGGGGTGGGAGTAAACTCTGCCTGGGTAGCGGGAAACGGAAGGGGACAGCTGGCCTGGGGGAGTGCCCCGGTCACAGCTGTGCGCCCGCACCCCGACACGGCTGCTCGCAGCTGGCTAAGGGCTCTGTGCTCAAGGTTCTGTGCTCTGGCAGGGCTGGGGGTGCTATGCGGTACTGGGGATCTGTGTCTTAAATACTCTCAAGGCGTTGGGGTGGGCCCCCACGGAGAACCAAACGGGAGGAGGCGGAAATATCGGCCCCAGTGAGACTTTGCAAGAGGCTGAGACCGACTGAGCTCTGCTGTCTCTGGGTGTGCTGCCCGGTCACGGGTCAGAGCTGGTCCCTCGGCTTACCCGGGCCAGGCTGACTCCGGCGGGCACCTTGTAGGGCACATACTTGCGGTAGATGTGGCCCACGCGGGAGCAAGGGATGTCTTCCATGCGGCCCCCGCACATCCACACCTGCGGGAGGGGCGAACATGGCGCTGAGGCCTCACGGCCTCCCCGGAAGGACCCTCATGTCCCCCGGCTGCGCTGTCCAGTCCCCTGCTGCTGAGTCCCCGGGAGAGAGGGTGGCTGCAGGACCCTCCCCCATGCAGAGACAAATGGGGGCACGCGGGGCACAGCATCCTCCTGGCCTGGTCCCCATCCGCAGCGACAGGGAAGCCAGGAGGTGGAGCCGGTCTGCTCACCTTGAAGGAGATCTCATATTGCTCCCCGCCCCAGATCTCCAGGCCTGCGTCGTACCCTCCCAGCTCCCAGAACCACTTCCGGTCCACGGCAAACAGCCCTCCGGCCATCACGGGTGACCTGCAGGGGTAGGGGGCGGGTGAAGATACAGGCCCTGAGGAGCCTCTGTCACAAGTGTCCCGTCTGGGGGATGCTGGGTGAGGTCCTCACTGCCTCCATGGTGGGGCGGAAGGTCCTGGCAAGTATGAAGTAGAGCAGCAGCCCTGGGTGTGTGCATGCATATGTGTGAGCATGAGTGCATGTGTGTCTATGCATGTGTGAGCCTGAGTGCATGTGTGTCCATGCGTGTCTATGCATGTGTGAGCATGAGTGCATGTGTTTCTATGCATGTGAGTGCATGCATGTCTACATGTGAGAGTGCATGTGTGTCTATGTGTGTGTGAGCCTGAGTGCATGCATGTCTACGTGTGAGAGTGCATGTGTGTCTATGCGTGTGTGAGCCTGAGTGCATGCATGTCTACGTGTGAGAGTGCATGTGTGTCTATGCGTGTGTGAGCCTGAGTGCATGCATGTCTATGTGTGCGAGTGCATGTGTGTCTATGCGTGTGTGAGCCTGAGTGCATGCATGTCTACGTGTGAGAGTGCATGTGTGTCTATGCGTGTGTGAGCCTGAGTGCATGCATGTCTATGTGTGCGAGTGCATGTGTGTCTATGCGTGTGTGAGCCTGAGTGCATGCATGTCTACGTGTGAGAGTGCATGTGTGTCTGTGTGTGTGAGCCTGAGTGCATGCATGTCTATGTGTGCGAGTGCATGTGTGTCTATGCGTGTGTGAGCCTGAGTGCATGCATGTCTACGTGTGAGAGTGCATGTGTGTCTATGCGTGTGTGAGCCTGAGTGCATGCATGTCTATGTGTGAGAGTGCATGTGTGTCTGTGTGTGTGAGCCTGAGTGCATGCATGTCTACGTGTGAGAGTGCACGTGTGTCTATGCGTGTGTGAGCCTGAGTGCATATGTGTCCATGCGTGTCTATGCACGTGTGAGCGCGAGTGCACGTGTTTCTATGCATGTGAGTGCATGCATGTCTATGCGTGAGTGCATGTCCCCCATCCGCTGCGACAGGGAAGCCAGGAGGTGGAGCCTCCTGTCTATGTGTGAGCATGAGTGCATGTGTCTATGCGTGTGAGTGCACCGTCTATGCACGTGAGTGCATGTGTGTCTGTGTGAGCACATGTGTCTGTGAGCATGGGTGCATGCGTGTCTATGCGTGTGAACGCATGTGTGCCTACGCATGTGTAAGCGTGAGTGCACCGTCGATGCATAAGTGCATTTGTGTCTCTGCGCATGTGTTCTGGGTCCCCTGTGGAGGCCACACTCACTCGAAGGGGTCGCTGGCATCGGCCTTCTGCAGCTCGGGCGGGATGGGGATGCGCTTGTAGTACATCTCCCAGTCGAAGGCGCCCCGCATGGCGTCCCCCGCCTGCGTCTCGTAGTGGAAGTCGTCGTGGTCGATGACGTCGATCATGGGGCACACGATGGTCCGGCGGTTCCGAGCGATGCGGTCTGTCAGGGAGGTTGGGGCGGGCTCAGTGGCGCCCTCTGCCAGCAGCTGCGTGTCCTGCATCTCCGAAGCCCGGGGGGATACGGGGCCCCATCCAGGCCCACCTTTCCGCACAGCGTCCACCCGCCCGCCTGCCCGCGTCCGGCCTCACCCAGCAGGGGCGGCAGCCAGTTGACATTGGCCTCGCAGTGGGAGTCCAAGAAGGTGATGACGTCCCCGGTGGCGGCCGCGGCCCCCAGCATCCGGGTCCTGATCAGCCCCTCCCTCTTCTTGGCGCGGAGGATCTTGACGTTGGGGAACTGTGCCATGTAGTCTTCCAGAGGCTTCTGCAGGTGCTCTGGGGGTGCACAGAGGCGCAGGGACGTCAGCTGTTCAGGCCCCTCCTGCCACGAGCACTGCACGGCCCACGCTGGAGCCAGATTCCCGAGATGCTGCAGACTGGCCCCAGGATGTCTGGTGGGTGCGGTGGCCCCGCTAGCTCGCGTGTTGCCCACGTGCCCCGAGCCTTCTCTCCGGGTCCTGGAGCGCGCAGGGAGGGGAGGTGGGGGTGTTGGGGGACCTGCCGGGGTGAGCAGCTGGCCGGGCTGGTCTTCACCTGCACACCTGCTTCCCTGTCTGGATCAGCCCATCACTCAGCCCGCCAGCAGGTGGGGCAGGAGAAGCTCGGGCACTTGTCCGGGGCAGCTGCAGGGTCAGCAAGGACCCACCCCATGGTCAGGGCAGCGGGAACCCAGGCCCGACAGGGCGGGAGGCACTGGCAGGAAGCGGATCCCAGGTCCCCCTCCCCGCCCCCGTCGCTGTCATTCCCGCCCCTGCCCCTAGGGGGTGCTGCAGCCCAGCCACCCGCATCTCTCCCTTGCTGGCACGTGTCGAAGCCTGAGAGTTCCAGCGTCCCTGGAAACGTTTCCCGCCAGGGAAGGCCCCAGGGCCCTGAGTCACATCCTCCCACCCAACTTCATGTGGGCCCCCTCCCCGGGAGCCAAGCCCTAACCACTGAAAGTCAGAATTTTCCCAGCTGTGCTCTGGGTCACACCTGGCAGTACCTGGGGATATCATATCCCCAGTTCAGTGCTCTAGGTAACACCTGGCAGTGCTCGCGGGGGTAGCTCTGACTCTGCTCTGGGTCACGCCTGGCAGTGCTCGGGGTACTCCAAGCTCAGTGCTCTGGGTCACATCTTGCAGTGCTTGGAGGTATTCTCAGCTCTGTGCTCAGAGGCCACTCCCAGGGGTGCCTGGGGGTCCCCATGTGGAGCCAGGGACTGAACTAACCGGGCGCCTTCACCCCTGCGTCACTCCTCTGGCCCTTAGTCTGTTCTCCTTTTGGTCTCCCAAGGGAGGCTTAGGAGTACTGGGGGGTGCGACTCAGACCCGGCAGTGCCAGAGCAGAGCTGGGGTCTCCTCCGCGAGGCCCTTCTGGCTCCACCCAGCTTTAAGGGAAGGAGCTCGCACCAGCAGGACCCCTGGAGGTGCCAGACCCATGTGTGCGCAGGTCAGCCTCGGCGGCCACAGACTGTTGCTCCTGGTTGTGCCACACATCTCCTGACAAAGCTCACCAGACACGGACTATGGCCCAGGCCAGTGGGCTGAACGCAGGCGTGGCAAGGGGCCCTCAGCACGGGGAGGAGCGCGGGGCCTTATGGTTTCCGGGACACACGGCCAGGCCATGAGAGGCTGCAGTGGCGGCGGTGTGCGTGGGCAGGCTCCGACAATGGCTCCTCTCCCAGAGAGGAGAGGCCACAGCATCTACGGCCAGCGGGCAGCAGTGTCCGGGCCTGCAGCTGCCTCCCCAAGGCCACCCCAACTCGGAGGACAAGCGGTCCGACCCCAGCCCGGCCATCTGTAGAGCCTGGCCGCCCCTCAGATCTCAAGGGACCCCGCGTGCACCTGCTGCGGACGGGAGGGGCGTGTCTGAGCCTGTACCCCCACCCCCGGCGCTGCTGGTTTCCACGGCGGGGGGGGGGGGCGGGGCGGGGCACAGCTGGGGGTGAGAGCAGCCCAGGTGGCCTCACCCTGAGAGGCCCCTCTCTTGTCCTCGCGGCTCACATGCCTTCAGTCCTCCCCTCGCCTGACCAGTACATCCCGAAGAAACCCACTCCGCAGCAGAACCTGGGGCAGGATCACGTGCTGCCCCTCCAGGCAGAAATGGTCTCTGCTGATGGGGCCCCGGGGGACCCCGACACGGAGCTGGGTCACGGGGACCCTGGCTCGGTGCTAAGGGGGCGGCTCGGGCCCTGGGGGTGGCGGGGACCAAGCAGCGGGAGCGGGGCCCCAGCTTCCTCCACAGCCGCGAGCAGCCCAGCTGGCTTGGGGCGAGTGGCACCGGGCACCACCGCAGAGGCCCCGCGGGGAAGCTGAGGAAGGAGCAGGGGCAGGCGGGCGGGGCGGGTCACCTCTGTCGCTGAAGTCGTCCACCAGCAGCACCTCGGCCAGCAGCTCGGGCGGCGAGCGGTGGAGCACGCTGTGCACGGTGCGCAGCAGGGAGGACCAGCCCTCGTTGTGGAAGGGGATGATGATGCTGGTGTTGGGCAGCGTCTCCAGGTAGCCCTTGTGGTTGCAGCTGCAGGAGACGTGGCGGGGCTGAGCGAGAGGCGGCGGGGGCCCCCGGCACCGGCCCCCCCACCCTGGGACCTGGGGGGCAGCCCCGCCCCCGCCACTGTGCAGGCCCAAGTCCCCCTGGGAGAGGGTCCAGCTGCCCCTCGGCACGCTGGATGGCCCTTGGGGGCCCTCGGACAGGGCTGAGGCCGGCTCTTTGCTGTGGCCCCCCCAGCCCCTCCAAGTCCATGCTGACCCAGAACCAGCCACTGGGGGGCACAGGAGGGAACCCGAGTTCTCTAGTGCAGGACACTGCCATGGGGCCAATGGGTGAAACAGCAAACGCGCTACCCACTGGACCATCTCTCTGGCCCCCATTTGTGTGGGCAGAGGCGGGCGCCCACTAAAGAAATGTCTATCTACTATCCTCTGAAAGGCAACTCCCATGAAGAATATCAGAAAGGGGAGCCGGAAGCCTGGGAGTTGGGAATCACAGTCCGTGTTTCAACAACCTGCAACTACATTCGGAAGCACAGTCCGTGTTCTAATAACCCGCATCAACAGTCGGGAATCACAGTCCGTGTTCCAATAACCCGCACCTCCAGCCAGAGCCACAGTCCGTGTTCCAACAACCTGGGCTGAGGTGCAACCCAGAAGCCGGGCGCCCCGAGCCTCCTCACGGAGGCCTGAGCGAGGAGCAGCGAAGGCAGAGACTCGCCAGCAGGGGGCAGCAGTGGGGACTGTGAAAGGGAGTCGGGTGGTGGAGAGAGGGACAGGCGGCCGTCTCTGGCAGAAGGGTGAGGCTCCTTGCGGGCGAGCGAGAAACCAATCGTGTCCTGTGGCCAGGGCAGATACGGGTCCAGGGCTGCAGGCCCACACTCACTTCGGGTGCCGGATGTCCGGGAGGGAGCGGTTCAGGGAGATCCGGTCGCTGACGTAGATGTTGAAACCATTGTCCCGGTAGGCCTGCTCCACTCTCTCGGCGTCCGTCATGGGGTAGGGCTTCCCCTGCTCGCCGGGCCCTGGGGACCAGAGCACAGTCGTGCACGTGGGGGCAGAGGTGAGGCTGCCCGGCTGGTGGGAGCTGGACCCCAGCGCAGCTGCCCCATCGCAGGCTCCTGACAGCGTCCACGGCCCCAGCGGCTCTTTCAGTTCCGGCCACGCTGCTGAGTCAACAGCCCAGGGAGCAGCGGGGCCTGGGGGAGGCCGTCGGCGACCCGGACACCAAGTGTCCCCCTCAGCCGCACTTCAAAGAACCACAGCCTGGTACTGGCAACGCAGGAAGCGGCCGGGAGACGCAGGGGAAACTGAGGCTGGGGGAGGCCGGGCTGCTCCCTAAGTCATAGCACCCAGCCCTGCCCCACTCTGCTGTGGCCCGGGGACTGGCCGGGCACTGTGCCCAGTGTGGGTCCAATAAATGCGGGCACAGGCTCTGACAGCTCGTTTTAGTGCTGAACCATCTGTGAGAGGAGACGCTTCCTGTCACCCACAAACGGGGCAAACCCTGATGGAAGCAGGTGAGATACGGGGGGATGAGAATCAGGGGGGCAAGAATCGGGGGTGCAGACACCGGGAAACCCACACAAGCATGCACACGCATGTTCAACCCCACTCAGAGCACACACACATGCTCAACTACACACCAGAGCACACACGCCTCTGAACACAGGCTCATATGTTCAACCACATGTGATCACACATGTTCAACCGTGAGGGCACACAGCCCAACCACACAAGCACACATGCACACATTCATGCGTGCACACACATACGCACATGTTCACCCACTCACGCGCACACACGCAGACACACAATGCACGTAAGTGCACAATCACATGTGGACTCATTCAATCAGATATACTCGACCACACACATGCATGTATCTGTTCGGCCACAGGCACGTACACTGTACACACACAAGGACACGCATGTTCAACACAGCCTGGTGTGCACACATATGCCGGTGTAGGCCTGGGGGCTTACCGACTCGCAGCGCATCCGCCCTCATGGCTTCCAGGTCATGCCAGTCCTTCAGGGCCAGCCCTGCTCCCGTCGTCTTCCGGTGGGCATGTGAACCCTAGGGGACAGGCAGACAACCGTGAGAAGGAAAGGGGACAGCGCTGACCCGAGCTGGGGCGCAAGGGCCGGGATGGGCTGCTCAGGGCACCTCTGTAGTGTGGGGGCAGGGACCAGAGCCCACACCCAACCTGAGACTCACCCCTGCTCCTGTGTGTCCCCCCAAGGACTCACCCCTGCTCCTGTGTCCCCCCGGCCTCCTGTGTGTACCCCCCACCAGGGACTCACCCTTGCTCCCGCATGTCCCCCCCCACCCCGAGCCTCACACCTGCTCCCGTGTGCCACCCCGGCCCCAGCTGCCCACAGGACAGGCGTTTCCTTGCCACGGGAGACTGCGTGCCTAGGGGACACTGGTTCCTCAGGCAAGAAGCGGCTCCGGACTGAACAGGGAGCAGGGCGGAGCCTTGTGCCCATGGCTGTCAGCATCCCACCCGCGGGCTCCCAACCCCGCTGCCGGGCAGCTCCAGCTCCAGAGCCGCGGCTGTCGTCCCTGCCAGGCCTCAATCGTCCTCACGACAGGTGGACGGACAGATGAACAGATGAACGGGGACGCACATGCCCTGGGGAGAGAGCGGCAAGGCACGGCACGGAGCCACTCAGCAGCCACTGAGAAACAGATCTTGAGCGTCGGCCCGCGGACCGGTGAGCGCACAACGATGCAGAGACACGCGACCCGGCGGGGTCTTAACCCTGTGTCTGACGGCCGCTTGGCCAGCCTGGAACTCTTGAGGAGAAAGATGCGGTCGTCAGCACGCCGGGGTCCCGGCCTCAGGCTCCCGCACTCAGCTGGCCTGGAGCCCCACCTTGGAACTGGACTCCGCTGCCAGCACGTGCTTCCTGCTACAGACACCACACACACACACACACGCCAACACATGTGCCCCATGCATGTCACACTACCAGCTCGTGCTTTCCATTAGACACCACCCACCCACACGCCACACGCATGCCCCGTGCATGTCACACTGCCAGCTCTCCTCACTGGGCCTTCTAGGACATGCCCCTGAGGACCAGGCTGGGGGCGGGGAGGGACCGTGGGGTTCCTGTGCGTCCCCCAGCGCTGAGGACAGGGAAGCAGTGGCCTTCCTCCTCAACGCCGTCCCCTCCCCGTGGCTGCTCTGCATTCAGAGAAGAACCGGGTGGGGCTGGGTGGGCTCAAGCACACGGCTGTGGGGTGCAAACACGGACTTGGGGACCTCCACTCCCGGCTGTCCTGCAAGACGGAGCTTTCGGAGGGAAGGCACAACGCGAAGTGCCCAGACACCCCTGGGGTACACAGGAGCCCCCTGGCCTGGGGCCAGCTGGAAAGGCTTAGCACCGCCCAGGACCATGGACAGCCCCCGCGGGACCCTGACCGCAGGCCCCGCCTCCTGTAGGGACAGAGCAAAGGAGGCCCAGCCCTCTATTTTACCAAAAACCTTTTGTTTTGGGCCTACCCCAGACAAGGCTCAGGGCTGAGTCCTGGCTCTGCACTCAGGGATCACTCCTGGCGGGGCTCGAGGGATTGAACCTGGGTCGACAGCAGGCGAGGCCAGCGCCCTCCCTGCTAGACTACCGCTCTGATCCCGTGTGGCCTTTTGCTGCTTTTTATTCGGGGGCTTTGGGATGTACCGGGGGGGCTCAGGAGTGGCTCTTGGAATCATAGGGTGCTGGGGGTTAGAGCCCAGGCTAGCCGTGCACACAGAAATAAAGGCCTCCCTGTCCCGCAAGGCCACAGATGGCTCTGTTCCAGCCACCGGTGACTCTGGCATCCAGCGCCGACTGGACCCATCTCCTGCCTCCTCAGATGCTGCTCGAAAAACCGCCTCTCATGGCCAGGGTCGAGCCAAGTCAGGGTGAAGACCATGGCGAGGGCTGCACGTGAATGGTCAGAGGCCCAAACAGCTGCCCAGGACACACATGTGGGCGGTCAGGGGCCCAGACAGCTGTCCAGGACATGCGTGTGGGCGGTTAGAGGCCCTGACAGCTGCCAAGGACACACATGTGGGTGGTCAGGGGCCCAGACGGCTGTCCAGGACACGCGTGTGGGCGGTCAGAGGCTCCGACAGCTGCCGAGGACACGCGTGTGGGCGGTCAGGGGCTCCGACTGCTGCCCAGGCCATGCATGTGGGCATTCAGGGGCTCTGATAGTTGCCAGATCATGCGTGTGGGCGGTGAGGGACCGGACAGCTGCCTGGCAGCCTGCCCACTCAGGAAAGGCCATTAGCTGGTGTGGAAGCTCATTAAAGGGCCTTTTACGCGTGGAGAGAAAGCCAAGATGTCCCCTTAGTGTCCATCATCTGAAGGGCAAAGGCGGCCTCGGGCTACTTCTCTGCTCTGAAGGCAGAGACCTGCACTGCAATTAATCCCTGGAGAAAACGCCCAAGCTCCCTCCTTTCCTCTCCCTCCCTCTCTCAGGAGCGGAAAAAACAGGATCGTGCTCATCTGGGCCTCACACACCCATCTGCCATCCTTCCTCTCTCCCTGTCACCAGCCACACATCTGCCCATCTGGCTCGGTCCCTCCTCTGACGGGCAGCGAGCAGAGAGGGCTCACGTCAACGGGGGCTCGAGGGAGGGGACTGGTGCCTCCAACGCCTCATGGCCTGTGTCCACCTCCCACACGTTTCTGGGCACCCCCTGGAGGGGCCCACGGGGAGCTGGGACCTGCTCGCAGGGAGACGCCCTCAGATCCATGTCCTCCCTCCAGAAGGTTCCATCTTGGGATGAACTGAGAGCGGGGGGCTCAGGGGGCCTGTCTGTGTGCCGACGCCCCCCTTCCTGGCCTGCCCTCAAGGGGCAGTCCGCACTCTGATGGCCTGTCTGCTCCTGCCACATAAGGCGACACCCACCAGATGCCTGGCCTGGTCCAGCAGAGGGGGAAGGGCCACCTGCAGGGCCCAGCCATGGGGTGGGGGCACCCGCCGTGTGTCCAATTCATCCCAGAGAATGTCAGACAAACCCAGACGTGGCAGGTGGTTCCACAGAGCAACCGGCCACACCTTTCACGGGGGCCAGGTTCCTGCACCCCCACGGCCCGGGGGGGGAGGTGCCATGCTGTGGACAGTGGGAGTCATCCCATGAGGACCAAAAGGTCCGGAGCCCACAGCCCTGTGACCGGTAGGGGTGGCTGTGGCCCCCAGTCTCTGCCCAGCTGCTTCCAGCCTGGGGACAGCAGGACACCGACTCAGCCGTCCCAGGGGCCCCACGCTGGGGAGGGGGCAGGAGCCAGGGACCGTGGGTGCACACAGGGCTCCGCCTCAGGGTGCTCCGGTTCCTTCCTCTGCCCTACCAGAGCCTGGGGGGTGTCAAGCACGCATCCTGCAGCATTGGGGGTCTGCCTGCAATGTCCATCCTGGGACAGCAAGCAGGTGGCCCTGCGGGGAGCTAGTAAGGGAGGGCGAGGGGCATCATAGGTCTGCCTGTCAGTGGATCACCTCAGGCCTCTCTGGCTGGGCCCTGGCGGTGGAGGGAAGGCCTCTCGGTGCAGTGAAGGTGACACTCCTCCAGCGTGGGTGGCTGCGAGCAGCCAAATCATGGACAGGCTCAGAGGGCCGAGCCCTAAGCCCCCTGCCCAGACAGCTGGGCCAGTCCCCCATGCCTTGGCATCCCAGTGCTGAGCGTCAGATCTCCGGAGCGCCGTGAGGGAGGTGCACCTGGCAGCTGTGTGTGGAAGGCCTGAGGCCGAGCTCACGGCTCCACATGGCCCAGAGGACTTGGGGCGTCCCTGCCTGCACATGCCCTCTCACCCGTGGCCACTGGGAGAAGGCAGAGTCACGCGTCTATCTGCTGCAGGACGTGCTGAAGCCCATTGGCCGCCCGGGGCCCATCCCAGTCCTGCACAGGCACGGGGCTAACTGGGACGCCGGCTAACGTCAGTGGCAGGACACTGATGCCAAATGGCTGGACAAGCCCAGGACGGTCGCAGGGATGAGATGCGCTTTGCAGCAGGTTTACCGGGTCCACGTGACTCTGGCCAGACGGTTTTTGTGTGTTTGGGGGCCATACTTGGAAGTGCTCAGGAGGCCATATGGGGTGCTGGGGATCGGACTCAGGTGGGCCGCATGCAAGACAAGTGCCCTGCCCACTGTACTATCGCTCAGCCCCTCTGGCTGGAGTTTGCAAAGTCTGTCTGACACAGGCTGCAGGGAGAACCAGAAAGACTTGCCGCGTCTAGCCAGAGGCAAGTTTCTCAATGACACGCCTGTGGCCTCGTTTTGGCCAGGGTCAGGGAAGCCGGTGCGGAGGGTGAGGGCGGGTGTGCACGCATTCACGCACACATACCTGCACACGCACACACACATGCAGCGGGAGGCTCCTGACAGCAGCCGTCACAAGCCTGGCTCGGTCAGTACTGCGATCCCAGCTCCAACTCTCCCGGGAGAGTCCAGGGCTTAAAGCACTCGCCTCGCCACAGCCACCCGGTCCGCCCAGTGCCCTGCGCACCACTGAGTGTGGCCTACAAACAATGCAAGAGCACAGAGCACACGCCGTATCAATCAGCTGGTCTGAGGTCCCCGGAAAAGCAAAGCTGACCGACAGTGATGGAGAAAGGGCTGGAGCGCCGCGCCAAGGAGCGGGGACGGGGGAAACTGGGGTGAGGCCATGTCTCCTGAGTGTCAGAACCCCAACCACAGGCTTCACACACGTGCAACTGGCCACCCGCGACTGAACATCCACAAAGATGTCTTCGGAGATCCGCCTGGAACAGAGAGATCTCCTAGGGACCCGAGGAAGGACGCGCTTCACTTGCGGTAACAACCCTGCAGACTTTGCCAGGCCCCCAGGAGCCCTGAAGCGGGAGTGGTGGGCTGGACCAGCAGGCCGAACAGCCACCGGACAGGAACCCGGCCCAGCAGGACCCAGAGCGAAACAGCAAGATCCTCAGCAAACCGCCAAACCGGGTCAAGAGGCACCAGAGCAGCAGGCAGGGAGGAACGAGCGTGGGAAAGGCCGCCCGGTCAGGCCTGAGGAGGTCGGGGCCGGAGTCACAAATGCTCGCGACCTTCTGTGTGAGCTTCAA